GACTGTCTCGATGAATCATGAGCATTGCCAGTCCACTTAAACGTTCTTCATTCATCGAGGCTCGCGTCCACAGTTTGAGCCGTCTGAGTGCTGAAAACGACCTTTCGCAGCACACACTTCCAACCGGAATTGTCAAAAAAATTGTCAAGATTTTATTGATCACTGGATAAAATGTAGCATCACATTTCACTGCTGCGTCGTATGCAGTTTTAGGCTTCTGCTTGAGAGGAACATTGGCGAATTTTCGTTTCCACCTGACAATTTCTGAATCAAGGCTGTTTTCTTCGCAGAAAGTTAGGTACTTTCCAAAAAACTCTTTCAAATCTTTCTTATTTAAATCAGTTAGTCTATCCAAGTATACAGGCACAAGAGACTGAGCAGCAATTAATCCTTTGTGCTGGACTTTGAATCTTGTCTCAATCTCTTCAACAACACGATCAATAAAAGGATAGTAGACATTGATTCTGTAATAATCTTTGCACGGTGGCGTTGATTTACCGCAGTTCGTGGCTTAGTTATTTCAATCCCAAGCGCTGTTCCTATCGACTGAATTTTTCCCCACAGTTTAATCCAGGAATCATCTGCGCGCGAAGCTCTTATGCATTCTTTTGCTCCGTTTACTTCATCATATGCATCACCAAGATTGCATTCTTTTGCCTGCAGTATTTTGGTGACTGCTGCTGTAAAACTCAGAATGAACTGAACCACAACAAGTGCTACGATAAACTGTGGAGTTTCCATTAGGCGAATGTATGATTGGGCATTGTGCCTCGGCTCCCCTTTGTTTTGGGCTGCGATTTGCTCAAGTGTTTCCATGACCGACGAATACTTGGCCATCAAGGCAGATAGGGTTTCCACCCTTGAACTCCATCTGGTGGGACAAAGCTTTGGAACGGTTTTCTTCTTTGCTCCTCTTAAGATTGCCTTATTTGACTTATGAAGGCCATGATCGTCGTCGTTTTCATCTTCATCCTCCTCCTCCTCGTTGTCATCATTACCACTCTCTGTTAATAAGGCTGTTAATTCGTCATTGGCCTCAGTCGCTGCATTCTGTTTAAGCATTTCCTTTCTTTTAGCACCATCTCCCAAAAAACTTGTGATCTTGGCTACAATGTCAAACAAATCCCGAACATTATCAATACCTGTGCAAGCGCCTGCAAGTGCTAGATTGAGAACATGAGAACGGCAATGTACATAAACAGCATTTGGGTAAGCATCAGACACTTTTTTCTGCAAACCATTATTGCTTCCACTCATCACGGCCGCTCCATCATATCCTTGTCCAACAAGTCCTGTTAAATCTACTGTAGTCCCCATCCTTTTAAGGTTGGAATCAAAACATCAAAAACAGACTGCGCATCCATCTTTGTCAATTTTACAAAGCCCAAGAACTCTTCACAAACTTCCATATTGCTATTCACAAACCGTATGCATATACTCATTTGTTCGATTGCAGAAACATCCGTTGTTTCATCGGCCATTACACTCCAATATGTTTGAACCGTGGCAATTACTCTCTCTCGTATTATGGACTCGCACAGTGAAATAATTTCGTTTTGGATGCGGGGCGAAGTGAACTTTGCATTTTTTGGAACATGTTCCAAATGGTCTTTCAAGTCCTTGTCAAATTCTGATTTCCAGTTCACAAAGAAAATAAAGTTTCCGTTTTCTTCGCCAGTTTTCTTAACCCAGTTACCTCTTAAGGGTGCTCCTCGCATTGCCAATTTGATGATGACATCGATGATAGATAATAATCCCTTTTTTGAACGGATTTGTTGCTCTGACAAAAGCTTAGATAGTTTCGCTACAATATCTTTACCTGGCTGACACGTGGCAAGAAAACAATGGGCCATTTCTTCTGCAGTCTGATGGGCTTCACTTAACATGTGTTGATCAATGTAGTTATCTTTTCCAGTTGCTTTTTTCCAGTTGCTTTTTTCCAGTTGCTAAATCCACCTGACACGAATGGGGACAAATTTGAAGAACATGAGGTATTCCCTGGAATGTTCTTCTTTCCTCCAAAGCATATACAATATGCACAAAATGCTCTGTCCTTTGTAATACTATACCTCAACCATGGCCTCTGTTGCATCCAAGATGATTTGAATTTCCTACCAGCTGTAACAGGACATTCAAAGTTATGGGGCAAGTCAGATTTTGATTTCAGAAAAGATAACTTGTCATCATCAAAAAGCTTTTTGGAAATATAATTGGCAGGGTCATTGATATCATTAACAGGTGAGGTATGTTGTTCCTTGTTTGGAGAATCAAAAGTCAGACTGCTTTCATTAACTGGTGGTAAAGGTTCAGGAGGAATAGAACTTTCAGGTTCAACACTACACCAATAAGGCAAAAGAACATTTCAATGTGTCATGCGTGTATCAGCATGAATTTTCAATGGCTATTTATTATTTATACCATGTTGATAATTTTGTAAAGGGAGAACCAAAATATGTTACTTAGTTATTAACTTTAAACCATACATAAGTCATAAATGTGAAAGAATTAATACTAAAATAAACATTGGAAAATTTATTAATCAAGAATCCAAATTCTAATCAAGGTAGTTTGCAGTGCAGCAAATACACACATGTGAATATGTTGGTTTATAATATATAGGGATTATTAGATTATAGGCTTAGTTTGCTGCGAAGCTGCGTTACCATTTACCTGTATTTACAATATATATTACATATATGATATAAAATTAAAATGTTAATTCATTTATAACAATTTTCAGAACAAAGCAATTACATGTACAGAAATACTCATATAATATCAATGTCCAGCACTAGCAGTAGCAGATGATCTTATTTTATTTATATTTAATTTATAATCCTGGTTCACTTTACAGTCACTTCAGCATGATATTTATTTAATACTATTTAGCAAATAAAACTTCAACTTGCAAAGTCGGAAAGTCACAGAACAAAAATATCAAAGCACATAAATTATATTCTTTATACCTGGTTGAACTAGCACTGGCTGGTTTAAATAACAGAGTTGTTTGACGAAGTTTTTGCCTTTTAGCATTTGGCTCCATTATATATAAATTTTAAAATAACTGAAGAGCATTCGAGTGTGACTTATGAGATTTCGAACGTGAATCAATACAATATCAAAAATGGCGGCCGGCCGAAAGATTTGATGCTGGTTGGTAGTCTGGTACCTAGTTACCTCGAAAGAGTACAATTAAAATCTAAATCGCTTAAATTTTAAGCCTTAAATATATGAACAAAATAAATAAAATAAAATTCAATTATTTTATTTTACACCACACTGTACATCACATACCTAACACGTTCTTTAATTTCAAATGCTTGAACTAGCCAAATAATTTTTTTATTATTTGCGTTTATTTGAACATTGCAAGTTTAGATTTCTCTGGGGGGGCAACTGCCCCTGCTGCCCCCCCCCCTCTGTGTACGGCCCTGTTTATAACTTGAACTAAAAAAACAACTGACTTATCTTACGAAATGTTATGTGGTGATAATTCAAAATAGCGTACGAATATATTTTGTGCAATACCTCCTGTGCAATATCAGGTACCGTCATTGTCACATTTTGCCCATGCGTCTTCGCATTGACTTCGAATTTTGCATCGCATTAAGGCCCGTTTAAACCCGAACTATTACGTATAGATTTTGTTCAATGTTCAAAATCATGCCGGATGCAATTTTGTGCGATGAGCGTATGAGCACATGCTCATAACTGCTCATGAGCACATGCTCATCTGCTCTTCCTGCATTAACGTATGAGCACATGCTCATAACTGCTCATGAGCACATGCTCATCTGCTCATAAGGCCCGTTGAGGCCCGAAGACTGGGTCTATGCATATTTCGTGGAAGCCGCTGCAAAGTTTATGTACACAAATGTATACATTTTCGTATTCGCATGTTTTTGACATTTTGATTTGTACCCGGCCGACCCATGTAAAAATGACAAGAAAAGACAAGTAATTAAAAAGCAATTTATTGAATGACTCGACGTTACATGCTGTGTCTATACTCGTATGTTTTTACATGCTAACATATACTGTTCGAATGCATGACTTAAATCGTATATTCGACCTGTTAATAGAGTCTAATCATCATCATCATTCTCCTCATCAAATCTGTGACCCTTTAAAAGCCTTTTTATAAGAAACTTTCTCATATCAACAGCTGCTTCCATGGCTTCCTCTGGATCAAAATCATCGTTTTCCACAAGTGCATCTTTTGTGTGCATAATCTTCTTATGAACTGGATCTTTCTTCAGTTGTTTCATCCACAAGAGACGCTCCATATAAATATTTTCCAGTTCCTTCTGGAGTTTAGGCAGAATATTAGAGTAAGCTTTGTCCTTAGCGGATTGTTCATCTAGACCACTGTTGGTAAGGCTTTCTTTCATTTCCTCAAATGCTATATTACTTCTTTGCTTTGCTTCTTCTATCAACGGTATCCAAGGATCCATTTCCTGTTCAGTTTCTGACTCATTATCAGTCATCGTCGAAATTTCAGACACTTCAGTTGAAGTTGTCGAAACGTCGTCTTGAAAATCCCTTTCCTGGCTATCCGAGTCCGTTTGAGACATGTTTCTTTCTTGTGCACCTAGGGGACAGTATTCCTTTTCGTGTCTTCGTAGATTGTAACCACGATTAAATTGCTTTCCGCAAAATTGGCAACTCATTCCGTTAGCACTGACTGTGCAGAAACGCCTTGCTATTGAGGAGTATTGCAGTTTTATGAGCAGATGAGCATGTGCTCATGAGCAGTTATGAGCATGTGCTTATACGCACGGGACTTGCTTGCAGGACACTTTGAGAGGTGTCCCTATACCCTGGCTGCCCCGGACTTTCTTACGGCACGCATAAACTAACACACAGCTTAGTCTTTTAAACATCCTAATTCACACATAAACTAATATATAAATTTATGTTTTAAACAAAATTTATTTCCCGCCTTAAAGCAAAAGCTTGAACTCCACCTCAAGTTCATCAACAGTTGCATCACGATCTTTCCCAAAGTTTTTTTTAAATGTTCCAATGCGTGCTGAAAAGGTTAAAAGATAACACGAAATCGCACTGATTTTAAGAGCAAAATATTATTGCAAAAGCTACCGCGTTGGTTGACAGCGTGCATAAATTAACACATGGATTAACGTTTTGTACACGCGATAGTTATATCGCACGCAAGAACGCAGATTATTAGTGTTTCAAACAATCTAGTTCACATCACAATCAATCAGTCAACATGCAGTGTAAAGCAGACATTGTTGGGATCCTTGACATGGACGGATTTGAAATTGGAAAAAAAAATTTTCTGTAAGGAGTTGGGAGTCATAAAGGTCGGAGACTCTGAAGCCTCGTCGTTCTTTTTAGATATTGGCTTACACTGGAGCGAGCTCAACGAGAGAACGTGTAACTTCGTCCAGAAGAATATACATAAACTCCCGTTTGAAGTGCCACGGGGCACTAAAGCATTTCAAATTTCGGACTTGCAGGCAATTGTAGAGAATTTCTACCGTGAAATACAGATAGATTCAAACTCTACAATTGCCTTCAAAGTAAGCTAAATGCAACGATATCAACCTTAAAGGGTTTGTAACCTTAGTATTGCCAACGGCCGACAAAATGTGCGTGTGTGTGTGCATGGGATGTTTGACTTAAAACATTTGCATATAATACATATAATGACACATCTCAATTCGCTAATTCAATATCTGTTATCTGTACAAAATAAATCAAATCTCATTTAGTTCGCAGAGAAGTAAGCTAAATGCAACGATATCAACCTTAAAGGGTTTGCAACCTTAGTACTGCCAACGGTTAGCAAAATGTGCGTGTGTGTGCATGGGATGTTTGACTTAAAACATTTGCATATAATAAATCTAGTGGCTCATTTCAACTCGCTAATTAGTATAATTAAATATCTCAAATAGAAGAGAAAAAAAAAAATCTCACAGAGAAGTAAACTAAAATAAAACTTTATCAAATGGGGAGAATTCGTTTTCAGCAAAGAGTAGACTATACTCGATTTTTCCACACGTTAGACCGGTACGGATTCCCAGCGAGGACTTGCACTACTGGTCACGACATCTTCGTTTGTTGCCCAGGAGCAACGTTTAACAACAAAAGTTTACTCTATCGATATAACGTTCGTGTCTGTCCTTTTTTCACTTGTTACTATTATTATAAATGTTTGGGCTATTTCATTTACTGTTAAAACTGAAGTTGTGACCAGCAAATCCCCTTACAGTGAAAACTGTTCTTGGTCTGGAAAACTGTTCATCGAGTGAGGAGTATTGATTTTCAGAAAAGTGTACACTACACACGTTTGATTTGTCCACATTTCAGGGGTATTGACTCTTAGCGAAACTTGATCGATGCATACTATAAATATATGAAATCGAGTGTTTCGTTTAATTCTTTTAGTATATTTAGTGGCTCTTAAAAGAGCCGTTTTTGTGTATCTTGCACGTCTCCCTTACTCTAAAAGAGACGTATCAAAATCCAACACATATTGTGCGGCTAACGATTCTTCTTCTTGACGGTCTTGCTCACTCATACATACAGTTGGACGTTCATACTTCATAATTTACGCGGGAATAGTTAGACGTTCATACTTCATAATTTATGCGCGAATAGCTGAACGTGCATACTTCATAATTTATGCGAGTATTTCCGGTCATGTCATTGATGGTATGACGTCATTGGCGGCATCCCTTTGAACGCTGGATGGAGGGGGGGGGGGGGGGA